TGTGTGAACTGGGTATGGTGGCTGGCTAATGTCTGCAACATCTGCAGTCCCGAAGTGGAAATGGGGGATCAGGAGTTCAAGGTCACCCTTGGCTACACATCAAGTTTAGGGCTAGCCTGGAATATATGAGACCCTATTTAAAAAAAAAATAAAAGGAAAAAAAATACATTTTGACCCTTTTCTTCTCTGTTCAAAGAAACAGTCTTCAACTACAGATCACCAGAACAGACACAGCTACCAGCAAGCTGGTCTTGTCACATGGGGAGGGAGGGAACCTTTTGACCAGAGTATTGGAGGTCACTGAGGGCAGGTATGGAGAGTGAGTTACAGACACTGTTGTCTATTGTAAAGTCCCCAGCCTCAGCATGTCTTGACGTGATGAATATTTCACAATGCCTCATCTCTCAACTTCTTTCCATATTTCCTGTGTTGAAGATAGCCCCTGCCAGGGAAAAGTTCTCCATCAACTTGTTACCTGATGGGTTTGGCGGGGCTGATGATTGCTGGATCTGCAATCTCATCAGGGGGTTGAAGATGCTCACTCCCTAATCCTTCATGTCGCCTGCATTTGCAGCTCTGCTTTCCCTCTTATTAACAGTTTCTTATCATCAACCACTTGATTATCTTCGAATATAATTTGTGCTAGAAAGGCAGGAAGATCAAAGCTGGGCTCTTCCCCCTTTATTATTCAGAGTAATGAGTTGGTATCCTAGCAACTTGTAAAGGTGACCCACTACATTTTCTTGCTTGGCATATCATATCTGGAGTCATCAACTGCCTTTTTTTTTTTTTCTTTTTTTCTTTTTTTAAGGCAGGGTCTCATGTATCTCATGCTAGCCTTGAACTTGTTATGCAGCCAAATGATTTTGACCATTTCATCTTCCTGCTTACATTTCCTGGGTGCTGGGGAACACCATGCCCAGTTTATGTGCAGCTGGGGATGGAACCCAAGGTATTGTGCACACCAGTCAAGCATCTACTGACTACTTTTCATTTGTTTGGTTTTAATCCACTGCAGCCAGAGTTCTTTGGTACTGTTTGGGGATCTTACTAACCCCTGATACCATCCCCTTGGTCCTTGCTGTCTCCCTTGACTTCCCTACCTCACTTCTGCAATATGAACTATTCTAAGAGGAAGCTCTGTTATATGGAAAAAGGTGTTTGGGTGAACACCTGAAAGGCTTGTTCACTCATGAACCCTTATCAGGCTTGCTGAACTGTTAGCCCTTTTCAAAGTACAGAATTGAAAGCATTTAATTAGTGTGTGCTGTGTGTGTTTGTGTGTGTGTATGTGTGTGTCTGTGTCTCTGTGTTATATGGTGTATGTATGAAAGTCAGAAGAGGATCTCTGATGCCACTCCTCAGGTACCATCTACCTTAATTTCTGGAGACAGGGTGTCTTCACTGACCTGACACTGAGGTAGTTAAGTTGGCTGACCAGCAAGTCCCAGGGATGCACTTTTCTCTGTCTCCCTAGCACTGGGATTACAAGCCTGTGCCAATATGCCCAGCTTTTTACTTGTGTTATGGAGCTCAAACTCAGGTCCTCATGCTTGTATGGCAAATACTTTACTAACAGAGCCATCTCCGGGCCCAATGTTTCATTTTTATGAGTTCACTAATATCCTTTTTTAAACGGAAGATCACCTGAGGTCTTCAAATCAATGCTGTAAATATTCCTTTCTTGTATACAGATATCTTGACTCTTCTACATCCCTCTAACAGTCTCAAATAACCATGTAAACATTTTCTACTACATTGTTTGCTTTCAGCGTCATGGGTGGTTGCTAATGTTTTGCTCTGTGGGCTCTTTTCTTGAAAGGCATTCAACTGTGTCAACTTTCCCTCTGATTTCTGCTGAATCCAAGAATCATATCCCTCTCCCAAGTTAAGAGAAAGTACTTTCTGTTTCTGGCTTTCATTATATTTTAAACAGAGACCTTCTTTCACTTGAAGGAACTCATATATCTGAAAGCCTCCATCCGCAGAATGGAAGCAGGTTTGCAGGGTGCTGAATCCCACTCTTCTCCAGGAGAACATCGAATCTCCCCTCAGGGGCAGGATACAAGCCACTGCTGGCTTGATTGGAGAGTGTATGAAAGCACAAGTTTTACCTGACTTGTCCTAACACAAGTCACAGCTTAGTTGATTGGCTAGCACTTCTTCCAGACTCAGAATTTCATAGCAAAGTCAAACCCCAGGCAGACTCTAATCATGCCTTGCCATGCTGACAGCCATCTGTCACCTGGTGTGCCAAATATTAGTTTGTTCCCTGAACTGTGCCCCTGGGACAGGTGGCAATAACAGGACAATATAACTCCAATAATAATAATGTCTATCATACACGCAGCATGATCTTATCAAACTCTCTGGGCTCAAAAGAACATTTAAATAGGATCTCTCTCTCTCTCTCTCTCTCTCTTTCTCTCCTGCTCTCTCTCCATATGCATGCAGAGGCCAGGGGACAATCTCTGACATCATTCCTTAGGCACCATGTACTTTTTTTGAGACCAAGTAGGCTAGGATGACTGGCCAGTGATCTTCCAGGGTCCACCTGGCTTCTTCTCCCCAACACTGGGATTACAAGTGCACACCTTCACACCTGGTATTTCCCATGAGTCCTAGCAATCCAACTCAGGTCTTCATAAGCACTCTATCAACTGGGTCATCTCCCCAGTCCATTCCATGAGTTGATTTTTAATACTGCTACCTTACCAGCTATATACCCTTCTTAATTCTTTTTTTTTTTTAACCAAGACCTAATGCCCAAAGATTATTAGTCTAATATGTTCACTGACACATTTAGGGACTGAGCAAGGGATCATCTTTGGGCAGCTACATAAGATGCAAGAGGTGGCCATGAGGGAGAACATCAATGCAGGCATATATAGCTGAGTTTATCAGCCAAGCAAATAGACTTCAGAAATCCATTCTAGCATGGGAACCTCCAGATGAAATCACACTGATATCTTTGGAAAGGGCGAGTTCTCTACCCTTAGCCTTCAAAGAAACAGTTTCATTCACATGGCCTTTCATTTCCAGAGTAGAAACTTTCCTCCTTGTAGGGGTGGGGACTTAACCATAAATTAATCTGGCACAAATACTGTTTGGTTTGGTACTTGGTTCCACAGTCCTTGGCTAATTAGAAGGAAAGCAAAACCAGGGAGATGGAAGGCAAAAGTAAGCCACAACAATGACAGGAAAGGCTATCATGGAGATTTCTCAAGAGTCCAGCAGCAGGGCCAGTGAGTGCATTGGTCAGTGCAAGCTCTGTAGCATCCACTATGTTGGTTAACTCTCACGACTGTTTGAGCACACAGAGAAGGTGGCTCTGGAAGCAGGGTTGGAATCCCCTATTTCAGAACCAAGCATGACTGCCTCAAAGTGTCCTGCAAGGCCCCTTATCTGAGGAGAAGCTAGCCCCCTGACCCTGTGATAGAGAAAGAAGAATGGCAAAACAATCATATACCATGCCCTTCAGGGCAGCTAGAGGGAGAAGCCCTTTCCAGCCAATATTACTGGTTATTCCATGTATAAAAATGTCTTGGGTGGGAACTGAAAGCTACTCAGTGGAGAGATGCTCAATGGAGATCCCAGCACAATTGCTTCTTCTTCAGCTGGTTTCTGCTGGATGCTGTAAGACCCAACTTGATGACAATACCTCTGTTTGCTCTATCAGGCTACTCCAGTTGTCTGTTGGGTGCTGTAAGACCCAACTTGATGACAATACCCTGATTGCTCTATCAGGCTACTACAGTTGTGTGTTGGATGTTGTAATGGCCCAAGTTGATAACGTTTTTATGATCTACCTACTTTTTTTTGCTTGATACATGTTCAATAATGTCACTCATTTGACACTAATACCATAGCTCTTGGAGGTGATTCTCTGGACCATATAGAAAAAGCCCTCACTGCATAAGCTTTATCAAACGACACACAACACCAACAAGGGCATCGAGAGGAGGCAAAAGAGTCTGAGTCCAGTGATTAAGCAGCCACCAAAGTATGAAACCGAGTTTAAAATAGTTCTAATTCAGAAGGCACATATGCATGTGGTATGCATGTGTATTCATATGTGCCAATGTCTGTACACATCTGTATACGTATGTGTGTATGTGGATGTGGAAGCAAGAGGTTTGTGTCAGGTTGTCTTCTTCAGTTGTTCTCCAATTTCCATATTAAGGCAGTCTATCTGACTTGTCTATTCCAAAGCTCACAGATTTGGTTACTCTAACTAGCCAGCTTGCTCTGAGAATCTCATCTCCACCCAGTGAGGGTTGGGATTATAGGCATACCACTACTCTTTTCTGGCATTTACATATGTTCTGGGTATAAGAACTTTGGTCCCCAAACTTACCCACTGACCCATCTCCCCCCATCTCTGAGATTATTTTTTCTTTCTTTCTGTTTTTTTAAATAGGTTTTTTTTTTCTTCTGTGTAACAGCCCTAGATGTCCTGGAACTCACTTTGTAGACCAGGTTGGCCTCAAACTCACAGAGATCCACCTGCATCTGCCTCCCAAGCATTGGGATTAAAGGCGTGCACCAACACGCCCAGCTATTTTTCTTTTATTTGAGTTTCATGCTCAAAAATTAAGATTGAGCTGTGTGGAAAGTGGGTTGCTATGGAAGACCTCATTCCTCTTAAGGATGTAGTGATCTCTTAGCAGCGGGGATATGGCGCTGGGACATGCTCAGTGACTGCTCTTTCAAAGGTGATCTGCAGGCTTTTCCCATGTGGCTTCTACTGGTGATTTGTATTGAACCATTTTTCTGAGGACATTTCTAAGGCTGTTCATACAATGTTCAGGTGTGCTTTCAATTCCAATTACAGAAAAAAAAAAAGGATCCAATTATTCCCAAGAAAAAAGTTTAATATTACACACTTTTTCAGCTAAGGGTCCTGAGAATCACAACTCCAGATAAATGGTTCCCTAGTTAACCTTTGCACTTATCTTCGGCAGCTTTCTGAAAGGTAGGGACCACACATGAATACTCACGGAACATGGTGTAAAACTGCTGCGGGTTCAGATTCCATTTTCCCCAGGGGGTCTTGTGGCCTTTCGACTGGGCATAACTTGCATGATTGAACTCAGGTTCTGTTCCAAAGGAATCTAGCACTCGGAGCATGCACCTGCAAGGAAAGTGCTGTGTGTCAAACTATAACCTCCATGCTAGATGCTATAGTTCAAGAGAGAAGCAGATGGACAAACGCTTGAAAGTAAAATTGCCACTGGAGAGAACCTTAGGTCTTATTTTTCTTACTTATTCATTTTGCAAAGAAGGCCTCAGCAGACAGAACTGGCTCACCACTGAGAGTGGCTCAAATACCAGTGAAATAAATGTCCATGAATTCTGCAAGGGGCCTGAAGGATTTACTTCAGGGGACTTAGCACCCAGGTAGGACTTGGCATACAGTATGTGCCTAATCAATGTGATGAAAGAAATAAAACAGCACTATCTCTACAGTTCTTATTCTGCTTAGAGCAGAGGACATGCTTCAGGGCTTCCAGCCTCTGTCAACCTTTACACTAATTAGCTAGATGATTTGACCTTAGGTGATGCTAATGACACAGCTACAGTATCTGCTTCATACCAGACACAGCTACAGTATCTGCTTCATACCAGACATAGCTATAGTATCTGCTTCATACCAGACATAGCTACAGTATCTGCTTCATACTGGACACAGCTACAGTATCTGCTTCATACCGGAAAGGTACTTTTCACATTGGTAAGCTGATGATATTTGAAAACAGGCTTCTGGGAGTTAACTAGGGATAGATGCCACTAGTGGCTTTAAAAAGAAGATGACTAGAGACCCAAGCAGAACTTTGCACAGTAGAATATGGTCCTTGCTAGATTGGATGGGGGCCACTCCATCTTGGACTTTTTAGCTTCCAACAATGAGAAATAAATTCCGTTTCACAATAAACAAGTCTGGCTCCAGTATTATGTTATAATAACACAAAACAGATTTCAATCTCATTTACGAGGAGGGGTAGCTTTTACATATCCAACTATAATATAATAGGGCTTGCTTGCTAGACCAGCTAAGAGTTAGCACAGTACAATGGAGTCCCTTTGTTCTGTTCCACTGAGCCAAACCTGCTCCATCAGCTATCTTGGTGTAGTTGTGAGCTAAGAATTGGTTTTATATTCGTTTGTGTACATGGGTATGTGTTTGTATATGTGCACATGTGCATAGAATGTGTATAGATGAGAAAAAATATGTGTGTGTGTGTGTGTGTGTGTGTGTGTGTGTGTGTGTGTGTGTAGGTTAGAGGTCAATTTTGGGCTGTTATTACTCAGGCACCATCTATCTTGGCTTTTTTTGAAACAAGATCTCTTGCTGATCTGAAATTTGCCAAATAGGCTAGACTGGCTGACCAGGGAACCCTAGGGATATCCCTGTCTCTAATTCCCCAGCACTGGTGTTACAAGCAGGTACCACCAAACCCAGCTTTGTCATGTGGGCTCTGAGGACAGAACCCAGGTCCTGGAACACCACAGAACATTTCACTGACCAAACTCTTTCCCCACCAAGGCTTCACATTCCCAAATGATTTTTAAAAACATGACGGAGGGAAATTCCATGAAGTTCTCATTTCTACTGTGGAAAATAAAGTTTTATTTATTCTCTGTCTGCAACTTGGTGACTGTCTTCAAGCTGTGATAGCACAGCAAAGAAACTGCAGTAGAGACTATACATGGTTGTAAACTATTTACAAGCTAGCCTTTTACAAAGGAAGTATTCTGACCACAGGTGGAGAGAGCACAAATGCTAACTGGGAGAAAGGAATTAGAGAGCCAATGTTATTAATCTGGGCTACACTGATTTAATTGATGATTTTCAAAACATGTAAACTAAGCTCGGGGGCTGGCCAATGGGGACCATTCTGTTTGCTGTTGTTCTCTCTCAGTACATGTCTGAGCAACTTTCACTGGGCCAATACACACCAAACCAAATGAAAATTAAAGCCCACATTTAGGACAGATGGTGGAAACACTTTCAAGGACTCTTTTTCTCTCTCTTCCCTTTCTTATTACCAGGAAGCTATTCTAAATTTTTGTAAATTTTCAATCTAAGATTCTGAAATTAAAAAAAAAAGGATGTCCAAATACCAGATTACATCCCCCAGGAAATACAACTGTCAATTAAAGGAGGGAAGGCTATGGCTACAGAGTGAATTGTGAGATAACCCAGAACAATGTCCTCACTTGGATTCTTATGTGACTTTCTTGGAGCTACTCTCGGTACATTGACAGGTCTCTCATTTGGGGGTGTATATGTTCATGTGTGTGCATGTATGTGTTTGTGCATGTTCACAAGTATGCATGCATGTGGAGGCCAGAAATCAAACTCTGGTGACATTCCCTGGAAGTTATGTACTTGGGAGGTGGATTCAGAGGGCTTCTTGTTCAAGGTCCTCCTTGGCTCTATCTTGGAACTATCTCGTACCTATGTTATGTGCTGTTAATATTTATGCCACTGCTTGGATGCCCTCTCTGCATCTGAAACATCAGAAACCTTTAATGATATAAAGGTGTATTTTCCCTAGTGCCCAAGACAGCTGGCCTTCCTCTAACAGAGACCTCACAGCAATGCCAAATGACTCCTGGAACATTGTGTCACTCGAGGCTACACTATAGTGAAGGAGATGCTCAGAAGCAAAAGGTCTATTTCTAGCTGGGAGTCTGGTGGAAAGGCTGGCCTGCTGTGATCTATTTGTATCTCACATTCTTGCACTTTTTTAACACTCAGCAAAGGGCTCTCCTATGGAGCAGAAAGGTTGTGAGTTTTGTAGACCATGCTAGAGGACTAGTAGCATGTCAGCATTTAATAAGTGTTTAATCGAATTTCCTAGGTTCTTATGTAAATTAGACAGAATTTATAAGTATTTTTTTCAAGGTCAACAGACCTAAGGGGCTTGCTGCTCATTGAAAGGTCTGATGACACCACATAATATGGAATGTAGTTCCCATCATCTACCATCAAGTAAGAGGACCACAGTCTGACAATTGCATACACATGTGTGCATGTTCCTATATGTGAGTTCATGTGTGGTTGTACACCCATGTGTTGTGTTCATGTGTATACATGTGTGTGATGTGTGGGTATGCATGTAGGCCAGATGTTCCTTAGTAGCTTTCCATCTTATTTTCTGAGACAGGGTCTCTCACTGAATTTAGAATTCCCTGAGTATTTGGCCTGAGCTCTCCAGGAGCCTCCTCTCTCCCTCCCCATGCTGGGATTGCAAATGTGCACCATCATGTGGGCCTTTTATGTAGATACTGGGATCCAAACTCAGGTCCTCATGTTGCACAGCCAGCACTTTGCCAACTGAGCCATCTCATTGGTACCTCTCTATCCTTTTATTTTTTGGGATAGGGTCTCATGTTACCTGGGCTGCCCTGAAACAACCTACGTTCTCAGGGATGACTGAGCTTCTGATGCTCCTGTCTCTACTTCCTGAGTGCTGGGATTACAGGCAGGCACTACCACACCTGGTTTATTGGATGCTGGGGATTAAATCCTAGGCTTCATACACAATGGGCAGGTGTGTTACAAATGGAACTCTATCCCTAGATGCAACTTTGCATATTTAAAGGGAAAGAAGTAGGCAAGAAAGTTCTAGGAAGCCTGCTTGTCATTTGATGAAACTGTAGCTTTGCCACAAAACAAAGATGGAGGGCCATTGCATCGAGAGACCGCCTGCTGTTTACTGTTAATTCAGACCATTACTAAAGAAAGACAGAAAAACATTATGCACATCCATAAACCCCATAGATGGAGCATTTTCACACAGCAAGCCTCAAATACCAATCAACAGTGACCATTTTAATAACGACATGGCCTTTCTTAATTGACCTAAACACCACCACTGAGAATAGTTTTCCATCTGAATAGCCCTTCTTAATAACAAGGACACAAGAGTCTATGGAGGCCTGGATTGCCCAGTTTTCTCTGCATGTGTTTCAGATGTCTACCATTGATAAAATGACAGAAAGGAACAACCCTGACTTTCTTCCCTTAAGGCTATCACTAAGGAAAAATTTCTGTTTACAATATGGCTTATTAACCAAGAAGAAAGATAGTTATTTCTATACAACTAAAAAAAAAAGTGATGGCTTATGATCGGTGAAGAAGAAAAGTCAACCAATAATAGGGAAAATATGATAACAAAGACAGAGTGGAGTGCTGAGACTAAGGAGATGGATGGTATAGTGTGTACAGTGCCTAGTGCAGGCTTGTAAACCCAGTGCTGGGGAAGCGAAGGCAACTGGATCCCTAGGGCTCACTGGTCAGCAAGCCTAGCCTAAGGCCAGCTCCAGGTCATTGGAAAACTATCTCAAAAATAGGTGGAGAGTGTTTCTGAAGAATGACACCCAAGGTTGTTCTCTGTCTTCCATATGTATGCACACCTACACACATGTGTACATGAACATGTACATGTATACATACATAATCAAAACAAAAAACTAATAAAAAGGACAAAGCATTATCCTGGCTCAAACTTTCCTAAAAATAAGAAGAATGGTAATATCCCAAGGAAAGGAAAATAATGCAGAGACTATAAGAACAACATACTCAACACAGTCAATACAATCATCATAGTCAATCAACATAGTCAACACAATCAACACAGCTGGCGTAGTCGACAGTCAGTCTACATAGTCAACAAAGTCGGCATAGTCTACATAGCACAGTCTACACAGCAGCACAGCCAACAAAGTAAGCACAATCATTCACCAGTCAACACATTCAGCATAGTCAGCTGTTACAGTCAACAGGCATTCATCAATCATTCAACAAAGCCAGCACAATCAACAAAGTCAGCACAAGCATTCACAAATTCACACAATCATTCAACATAGTTAGCCTTCACGGTCAACAGTCATACAACACAGATAACACAGTCAGTCAGTACAGCCAACACAGATAACACAGTCAACAGCTATCAAAGTCATTCAATATAATCAACACAGATACATAGTCACTCAACACAATTAATGTAGTCAAACAGAACATTTGGACCCTTAATACAGTATCTGTCACATCAGCCCCTTTGCTATATATATTTCGTTGCCCAGTGAGAAAATCATTGCTGTTGGGGGTGAAGTTTGAAAGAGAATTTTATAAACAATGGACATTGATAGACCTTGGATTTTTGAGAAAATTGTTTGCATTTTCACTTCTAATTTTTGCCTGATTCATAAAGGACTTCCAGTCTAAAATAATCTTGGTGGTTTAAAGTTAAAAATATTAAATGTAACTAACAGGAAAGATAAAGGCCTACATTAGGATATTTGTGTATTGAATCAGTTAGAGTGGATGATGGTTCATCAGTTCACTGTTAATTGACAACTTGATTGAACTGGGGGAAATGCCAAGGATATTGAACAAGCATAGCTCTAGGTGTGTCTGTGAGTGTATCTCCAGAGATGATTAACTAAGGTGAAGGTTTACCCTGAATGTGGGTGGTACCATCTTGTGGGCTGGAGGTCCAGGAGGAATACAGAAGAAAGAGAAATCATACATTCTCTGTTTCCTGACTTCAAGGATGTGAGCTACCTTACATTGTCGTCCCCTCACCCAACCCCACCCTGATAGACTGAAGCTTTTAAAACCATGAGCCAAAATAAAACTTTCTTCTATAAGGTATTTTGCTCCACGTATTTGGTAAAGTGACTAAATTAACACAGAAGACTACAGCAAAAATGTTTCTACCCTTGCCGGGTGTTGGTGGCGCACTCCTTTAATCCCAGCACTTGGGAGGCAGAGGCAGGCGGATCTCTGTGAGTTCGAGGCCAGCCTGGTCTCCAGAGAAAGTGCCAGGATAGGCTCCAAAGTTACACAGAGAAACCCTCTCTCGAAAAACCAAAAAAAAAAAAAAAAGTTTCTACTCATTAGCCAAAATTAAGAAACAAATGGAAAGGGCTCTGGGATGTAGCTTGTCCATCATGAATGAAGTCCTGGGTTCCATCCTATCCCTAGCACTGATAAAATCAGTTGTTGTGGCTCATGGGACAGTTATCCTGAAGTAAGCTGTGCAGCTGTAGAATCCTTAAGAGGCCCTGCCTCATCAAGGCGCAAGGTGGAATCCAACTCTCTGTCCTCTGACCTCCACATCCATGCTGTGGCATGCACATATACACACATTCACACAAATATGAATGCACACACACACAACAAACAAACAAACAAGAAAAATCATTATTTGATTAAATGCATGAGAGGAATGCTGGGTACTGGGGAAGACAAATGGGGAATCTGCTAGATGTCTGCTCTGTTTTGCTTTTTCCTTACCTCTTCTTTTTTAAAGACTGGGTTTCACTATGTAGCTCTGGCTGTCCTGGAACTCACTATGTAGATCTGGCTGGCCTTGAACTCACGGATATCTGCCTGCATCTGCCTCCTGAGTGCTGGAATTAAAGGTGTGTGCCACTATGCCTGGCTGGACACCTGTTTTCTATTCTCAGAACATCAATAGAAATAATGAATAGTCCCAGGAAGTAGTCAGTGGGAAGAACCTGAATTTCATTAGGAATGAAAAGTACCCTCCATCCAGTTCAAAAGATGGTATTTACTCAAAACAAACAAACTGATACAGTCCTTGTTAGGGGAGAAAAGGTCTTAGCATATAGTACTTACTGGTAGTGAACCCAGGATGGTCCTAGAGTTTTCTTAAATTGAGCAAGTCCCACAATATCAATATAAATAAGCTCAACGATTCTGTCTCCTACAGTGGGACAGCCAGACCGATTTCCAACAACCTTCTTCATAATCCTGGAGTGGGAGAAATGGACGAAAAGAAAGGAGATCAGTAACTTGACAGTACTAACCCAGGCAAATGTGACAGATTAAAAGCACACCTCAAGCCCTGAGCCCATCTCAACTCTTCAGAGTCCCCATTCTGACCAGGGGTGGGAGTGGGGGAAGTGGGCTTAGATGCTGGTGTATAAACACAACCTGTCAAGTTCAGCAACATGTGTTACTCATCTCCTCTGTGGAGCAGACGTGAGAGAGCTAGCCTTGAGACAGCTAACCTGATTGATCTCTCTGAATCTTTCCTCTCATACTCCAGCATGGGGGAAGGTGATTAAATATTGATATATAGATACTTCCCCCAAATGCAAACATTCACTCCTGGAAACGGGCTCTTTAAGACTCAGGAAATGAAACCCGAAAGGTCCAGGAAGTAAATGAAACTCACAAGTCCCAGGAAGTTCCTAAAAAAAGGACCCTCTCCCCAAGGTTATAGACCTGCCTGCACATCATTCAGGGAGCTTGAGGGGTGCAGCTTTAATGAGTTGCTACCCATGCTGGGGTGGGCTTTTTAGTGATGCAGCTGCCTTTGAGTCATCCACAATCCTGTTAAGTAACCCCAATAAATTCACTGGCTTACTAAACTTGACTCAGTGGAATCATTTCTTTGGTCTTTCATTGGAGCCTGGTAAACATAACCCCAGAAAAAGTCACATAACCAATACAAACACTATGACACTCTCACTTTCATTTGTATTCCGAAACACCTGCAATTCTCAGTCCCCCAGCTTTGGTAACTCCCCATACATTTTTGTATTGTCTTTAGTGACTCATTATAGAACTGGCCCTGTGGCTTAGAGGTTCTCATTGTCTCAGCCACTGACCTACCCTTCTCTACCCTGACATCCAAATTGCCCTTGTGCTAATAGAATGACAACATATGTGACTGCTATGTGAACTTGATTAGTGAAGATAAGTCTAAAGTATAACTACCATGTACCCAGAAACCAGTCACCACCTTTGACTCATATCCCTGCTCACACCCCAGAATAATACTTGACCATCTACAAAAATCCCACTTTTGAATGACAGGGACCACAAACTACTCCACAGTTCCTTACATCCGCTGTGTCAGGTACCTTCTGCTCCTTCCAGGCTTCTAAAAAAAGCCAAGCTCTATTGAACGGATTTTTTTCTGAACAGCTGGAAAACTTTCTATGAAAAGCTGGATAATAAACACTTTGCATATTCAACTTGACCACTGTAGGGTGGAAGCCAGTTAAAGTAGCAGTGGGTGTGACTCTGTAACCAGAAAATGTTGACAAAAACAGGCAGAGGGCTGGCTTTGGGCCATTGACTGTGGCTTCTACCTGGGGTCCACCTTGTTCACTGGTTCTCAACCTTGTTGAACAGTGGAACTGCCTACTGAGCATCACAAAGCATTTAGGCTGTGACATTTTCAAATGTTGTGACTTAATCATTCTGGGAATGTTCTGTTCCAGGATTTTAAGGAGATCCCCAAATCTTTGAGAAAGTGAAATGAAAAAATTCCCCAAGCAATTCTAATGAGCAGCAAAGAATTGGGGACCATTACTCCGTGTTGCTTCTGTAATGCTCCATTTAAATAAAGCCCATCCAGGGGCTGTGGATGTGGCTCAGTGGGCAGAGTGCTTACATAGAAGCCCTGGGTCCCATTCACAGCACCACATAAACTGGGTGCGGTGGAGCATTCCTGTCACACCGTCACTTAGGAGGTAGAGGCAGGAAGATCAGGAGTTCAACATCATCCTCGACTATATAGCACGTTTGAGGGGCCTGGGTTACATGCGACCTGTCTCAATGGCCTCTACCTCCAGAAAAAGAGTACATATAGCCCTCGTCCCAGTATCCACAAAGATCGATATTGACATGCCCTTGACTATCAGGTGAGTCTCTGTAATAGTCATGCCTAAGATATCTTTCCTAAGCTCCGTTCTTGTGCCTGGTTCCTCACAGTCCTCCATTTGTTCATCTGCCTACTCCCCACTTATCTTCCACATTCCTTCTCTCGTTCCTTCAAAAGCCAGAGTATGCTAGGTGCTATGTGTAAGCGCTAGGGGCACAGTGGTGATATTCCCGGTACTGACATTCTAGCATCCATACCTCAATTAGCATTAATAGATTTGTAATTAGTTTGTAATGTAATAAATGATTATTATTTAATGCATCAGTTATGATTGTCAAAAGATTGGCAGCTGAGTAACAACATGATGGTCATCCTTGCAGGCCCCATTTTGAATCCCAGTCCTCAGAAGGCAGACAGAGTGACTGCAAAGTGCATGACTTTATAGGTCTTGTGTTCGACATATTTTAAAGCAAGCAGGAAGGCAATAGGAGGCAGTCTGGTTAAGAAGAGGAGACCGCTTGAGGTACAAAGAACCTCAAGTTCATCTAACTCTGAAGGAGAAAGGAAGGACTGTTGTAAAAAGGCTGCAGAGAAGTCAGTGCCAGGCTCAGATCCAGGCAGCCCTATGTGCTAGCCTTGAAACCTCAGACAGTTCATGCTCAGTCTGAGCCCCAGGTTCCTCAGCTCTAAAACACAAATGGCAAAAGCATCTACTTCCAGGTGCTGAAGTTTAAATACAATACAATAAATGGGGAGCCAAGATGCTTTCCTTGGGTAAAGCTTCTGCTTCTATGTAATACAACACAACACAACACAACACAACACACCACAACACACTGCTGCTCAGATGCCTCCTGGGTAAAAGCTCCTGCTTCTTTCTATCACTGGAACCCACAATGGAAGGAGAAAACTGACTTCCTGAAAGCTGTCCTCTGATCTCCACATAAGCTGAGGTACACATGCCCACATGCTCACACACACACACAGTCATAAACAAAACTAAACTTAACTAAAGCCACCAAGTGCTTAGTATTGAACACACAGTAAGTGGCTCACTATAGATTTAATAGCTACCATCAGTTCTGGGGTAGGGCTGAGCTGGTCCAGAGCCTACCTGGCATGCACAAAACCCTGGGTTCCACTCTAAGACATAGAGGTGCACAACCCTGGGGAGGCAGAGGCAAAGATCAGAAATTCAAAGTCATCTTCAAGTATATATATTGAGTTTGAGGTCAGCCTAGGCTACACAGACCTAGTCTCAACATAAAAATAGTCCTGATCAACACTATTGCTAGCATACTTCCTGGTATTTCCACGGCAAGCAAACCTTTAACATGGTGCTGGCATCTGGAAATCAATGAGAGGATTGATAAGATATTCTTCAGACATGGTTGCTTTGGAGTCAGTATACCGCCAACAACTTTGGTGTGTCAATAATACAGTGGGGAACAGGGTAGAGCATGCATCGCTCTCTGCCATGGCTAGTGTCCTCCCAAGGGCTTTGCACAATGACATGGCAACTTGAATTCTGAGTTAGAAGTCTCTGCTGGCAGTTTTCTGGGGACTGCGAGGACCCCAGTTCATCTGTTTGGCCAGCTGTATCAACTGAAAAGGGACTGAGGGGGCGAGAGCTGAATGCAAATCTTAGAGGGATGGAAGACTCAGGGAAGAGAACAGACTGAGCTAGAAGTTAGCTAATTGAGAAAGGATTGGATCCGGGCTTTTGGGAAATCCATTTTACTCAAATTATAAACAGGAACTGGCCCTGTTTTGAGTTTTAGAAAGCTTGATGTTGAGCAGGGAGTAGTATGAATTCTGGCAAGAGGCAGGGAATCAGGCAAGTCAATAGAGTATCGCGCTGCAGATGTTGGAAACACCTGGAATAGCAAAGAATAAACGCCTTAGTTTGAGATTTCCTGGTGTTCATTTATGAGGCCCCAGAGCCTGCAGCCAATGAAAACATATTATCTTTTTCATAGTGTATGTATTTAGCTCCTGAAAATAATCTTCTTATCGCCTGTTTAGCGAATTATCACTCTCATTTTCCTCCACGAGAAATGGTACGCTAATAGAGGAGCTTTATGAGTTTACTATGTCGTTTTTATATTCTGATTTTCAAATTGAAAAAGTAATTTCCTTACTCCTTTAGCTCAGCCAGTGAAGCCGAGATCCGGATGTCATGGCCCAGTAGGTAGAGAGATGTAATTAAGTCACTCCACTGAACCAGTTCGCCAAGAGGGCCACCACTGAATGCCGTCTCTGCAATCTTGAAGCCAGATTCCTTGGTCAGGAGCCCCAGGTGAACAAGGATCTGGAAAACAAAGAGGGAATGCATACTGACTTCTGGAGCCTTGTTCAAGTCTTCGCACACCATGAAGCAGTCAGGCCATTCTGAAGGAACTACTGAAATCTCAGCATGGGGTATGTCATTTTTCTAAAAGGTATAAAACAAGGAAGAAATAACTTCCCCCTGGTTTAGACAAATACTAAAACCATGAACTGCCCTTGGTAGAGCCATGAATGTGAGTTATAGGGAGATTATCCTGATTTTTAAAAATAGAACACATGACTGGGTCAGTCAGTAAAGAACCTGACGAACAAGTATGAGGACCAGAGTTTGAATCCCGAGAGTCCAGATACAAAAGCTGGGTGTGGTGGTGCATACTTGCAATCCCAGTGCAGAGGGGATGGGACAGACTGGATAGTTCCAGGGATCTTCCTATGTTTGTCTCTTCAGTGTTGGCATTGCAAGCATGTGCCGCTACACCTGGCTTTCTCAGGTGGGATGGGGGCAGTGAACTCAGGTTCTGGGCCTGTGTGGCAAGCTCTTTATCAACTGAGCTCTCTTCCCAGCCTAGCAAGCTCCACGAGGCTTGTTTGATTTTTAAATATAAAACCATGGAAATAAGCATATTAAATGTGTTTGGTGACTATGTTAACCGATCCAGTTTGGCCATGGGCTTATGTTGCAGCTGGTACCTCCATTCTCTGGCCAGAATCCTAGCAGCCTTTGGTAGCTTTTCTGTCCTTGGGTATGAGAAGATGGTCTAAGTTCATCAAGTGCAATTTCTGTCTCAGACCTTAATGAGCCATTTTCCCAAGAAGCACTTATCCAACCTGGTGGAAATAGCATTTAAAGACCAAAGGCTAGTTCTCAAGGGACTCCACTTAATTGCTATTTGGAGCCTTCTCCAAATGGCCCTAGCTAGGAACTTCACTTTTCCTCAAAGATAAACTCTGGGTTCTTACTAGTAGTGTCAATCCAAACTTAAGGCTATAGATAATACCCTCAGATAATATCATCCGTCTTTCAGCAGTTATTTACTTTCTCCTACAACGAAAATTCCACTCAGAAATAGCAGGAACAAGGTAAATCATTTTCTATACGCTAATGCTCACAATAGCTCTAGAATAAGATTATCAATACTTTGGCATATGACGTGATACAAGTGTTAATTTTTTTCCCTAAGCTCTCTTTGTTCACTTTACTATGTTCCACAGAAATAGAGACTAACCCTCCATTGTGTGCTTGTCCCAAACTAGAATGATACAGTCAGCTCAGCTGTTTCATTTTCCTTAGGATTTTTAGAGATGGGTGTTTTTGTTGTTGTTTTTGTTTTTTTTTTAATTTAAAAATAGATCCTCCCCATGAAATATATTCTGATTATGGCTTCCCCTCTCCCAACTCCTCTCACCTCCTTTCCACTTCCTCACCTACCAAATCCACACTCTCCCTGCTCCATTCACTCCATTCTATCCCCCTCCCTGCTTTGACCACTGAATTATTTTCTTACCATGAAAAAAATATGTAAAGCATAACATAGCAGCCACCATTTTAATGTACATGGTTCAAAAGCAGTTTCCCCCTGGGTATCTCATTTCTGAAACTTGAAGAGTTCCAAAGCTTATGTTTAACTCATAGTGGATAAGATCCTTTCTGTGTTGTGTATGTGTATGTGTGTGTGGGTGTGTGGGTGTGTGGGTGTGTGGGTGGGGTGTTCCTGTGGGAGCCTGTGGTGAAGATGGCTACATCCTACAGTATTCTTTATGCTTCTGGACCATGTGCATTAAAATGTTGTGCACATGTTATGCTATACTATGAATATGTTTCTACACTAAGAAAAACAATTAAATGATGAAAAAAAGGAAGAGATGGAGGGAAGGGATGGAATGGGTGTAACAGGTATGGAAAGCATTGCCCACACCTACTTTTTGTCCTTGGGTAGCTTTTCTCGGTCATCATTTACCTTGTTTTGTGTATGTATAGTAAGTATGTGGTGGTGGGAGGTATATACAGGGCCGTGTGTGTGTGTGTGTGGGTGTGTGTGTGTGTGGTGGGGGGTGTGGGTGGGGGAGAAGGAGGAGGAGAGGAGGGGAGAGAGAGTGTGTGTGTGTGTGTGTGTGTGTGTGTGTGTGTGTGTGAAGATGTGTATAGCTGTGCATACATTCACGGAAGACAGAGGAAGACATCAGAATGGGGTGTGGAGACACTGAGCTGATTTACTTTGATGGGATATCATTTGACACATGACATCTCTCTTCATCTTGTTTCCAAGCAAAATCAAATTTTAAAAGAAAGCTGCCATACGAAGGAACCGAAAGAAGAAACTCACTTTCTTCCGTTTTCTCTTTTCCAGGTTTTGTTTCTCTGCCAGAGACTTGATTGCTTGGATCCACGCATCAGCCATTCGCCGGATCCGAAGTCTCATCCACCGGAACTCCTCATGCTTCTTCATCATGCTGTAGAGAATGTTAAAATCCGTACGGATTTCCGCCTAGGGAAAAAAAGAGAGAGAGAGAGAGAGAGAGAGAAACTGTATTAAAATGAGCAGAAGATTAAAATACTAGGATGCAAAATGATTTTCATGGTATGACATTTTACACCTGAGAGTCAATTAAATCCAGGATTTCAAAAGTCAGTCTTGTCTCTCTACATGGCCCTTACACATGGGGGCTGACAAGATGGCCAGCAGGTGAAAGCTCTTGCCAAACAGCTTGACAATCTGAGTTCAATCCCCAGGACCCACTTGGTGGAAGGGGAGAGAGAACTGACTCCTGCAAGTTGTCCTCTGGTCTCCACACGCTCACTGTGGCATGCATAAGCCCACACATGCATACACAGATAAAATAAATGTCATTAAGAAAACTTTAAAAAGAAAGAGGACTGCAAATTGAAATGAAGGCCCTGACTGTGGATTTGTTACAAGGGGCATCATTAAAAATTAGAGATTGAGAAAGTAAATGTAGTTGCTGTAAAGCCTGAGCTACGCCGAAATGCAGTTTTCACAATTGATATACCCAATGTGCCTTCACATCCCCTGTGCCAAAATTTATTTGTGTCTTGGAGCTTTCTTCTAGGCAGCTGACCACAGGAAAAAGCATCAGCTCAGACAGGCCAGCCAACACTGTGAGGGCTACTGGACAGCCTCTCCTCCCAGAGTGAGATGGGAAATAAATGATCATTTCCTAGTTTTTGGCCTGGGCCAAACCAACAAAATTTATGATTTTTCTAAGGAATTTTAAACACTAGGGATAGGATTTGTTTTTACCCTAGCTGAGTACAAATTTAAAATTCAGAGCAGAATAATTTAAGGTCCTGGAAGACAGTTTTTCCTGGTCTTCTGGATACTTTAGCTGGAGGCTGCCCCTGATTAGACCATGAGAGAAGCGTGATAATATCAGTGTTTCACATGGTACCACAAACATAACAAATGCATCTCTTAGTTGTCTCCAAGGTTCATTCTTAGCATTCGTCTCCATCCTTGACCCAACAATCTCCCATAGTTTAAACTTGACTTCACAAACCCTGGCATGGAACCATCTTCCTAGCTGCCTGTGTGTGTATATGGTGCTTCAGTGGAGCACAGCCATGCCCTTCTTCACTTATTATCCATGGCTGCTCTCTGGGTTAGGACTATAGAACTGAGTAACTGTGAGATTAAATGTCCAGCAAAGACAGAAACACTATCTGACTTTCACATTTTTCTTGCTTATTGTATTTTTACTTACTTAGAATGTGTGTGCATGTGTGAGCATGCTTGAGTGTGTGGTTAAGTCAGAAGATAACTTGCAGAAATTGGTTTTCTCTCTGTACCATGTGGGTCTCTAGGGAATCAAACCCAGGTCTTCAGGCTTGGCAGTAAGTAGGTGCCTTTGCCTGCTAAGACATCTCACTACCTCTATTATTTTTGTAGCCTAAGCTGGCCTTGAACTTCCTAACAGTCTGGTGAAAGCACTCATCTGACAAAATTCCTAGGCCTCCATTATTGTAGAAGAGACTTCAGGACTCCAAGCTGTGACAGAAGTCTCTCCTAGTAGAAGAAGAGATGATTAATTGTCACACAGAAGTATTATCCTATGTAGCCAAGGAGAGTCATGACTTCTAATTCTCCTACCTCTACCTAACAGGTGCTACAATTACAGGCATGCACCACCACAACCAGTTTACAGTGCTGCAGACTGAACCCAGGGCTTTTTGTATGCTAGGTGAGCACGCTACCAAATGAGTCACACACACCCCAAACCTCTACTTAACCTTTTGCAGAAAGTGTCTGCTTTGGGCTAGAGAGAAGACTGAGTGGTTAAGGGTGCTAACTGCTCTTGCAGAACAGTGGGGTTCAGTTCCCAGCACCCATGCCAGGCATCTCACTACCATCGTCTTGCCTCTGTGGGCTCCTGAATGTACAAGGTGTATATAAACTCATACAGGCATACACACACAAACAACACACACACACATACACACACACAAATATAATAAAAACTTTTCAAATGATTTGCTGATCTATATCTAAAGAAAATGCCCAAGCTCTCAAGATAGCATTGAAAGGCCTCTGGAGCCCCTTCCTCTTTCTAATTGCATCATCAACCCAGCTTGCCCAAACCTCTGACCTTGCCCACCCAACCTTTCAGTATGATACCAAAGACCTACTTCCCATAGAGTCATGCCTCTCTCCCCACACCTCAAAGAGCACTGCTTGTCCTTTCAAATTCAGCCTGTCATCTTGGAATCTCCCCTGACCTCCACAGCTGAGACCGTCATTAATCTTCCTTAGCAGGCATTAGAGCCTGGTGACAAACCTGGTCATTATTTACAGCCAGTCCCCTCATTAGATCACCCAAGGCCTCCACATCTGGCACTGTAGCTCATTCCTTTCTGTGGCCCATCATTTAGGGACCTTCAGAGAAATGTTCAATAAATAAATCTCTGATAACTGGTCTATGATTGGGCCAGCTAGACTTGAGATTTCAGCTGGCACTTCTAAAAGATGCTGTGAGCATCACTTAGCACATGACCTAAGCACACAAGTGGAGGAAGAGTGTTCCAAAGTCATTTACCAATGAGTTATGATCAGCTTCTTCATAGGGATTTTTTGCTCTCCAAGGTAAACGAGGACACCAATTTTCAACCTGCAAAAGATAAATCAGAAACACTAAACACACTGGTCCATCTTTCTGCGGACACCCAAAGTGCTAAGAACTACTCCCAGCTCCCAATGAACAAGGTGTTTATGTGGGACATTATTAACCAGATGTTAACCAAACTCCTGTGACATTAGTGAGTGGTCCAGGTCCAGGTGCCTTCAAAGGTGCAGCATCCTTCATCCTTCAGTATGGTCATAAGAAGCACTTGACCACACTTGTCCCTAATTACAGGGAATGAGTCCTTCAACTAATCCTCACATGTCCATAAGAGGGGACCAGTGATCTCTGGCAAGAGGTTAAAAAATCTGAACACTTTTGCAGGGAAATAGCAGTGTGAAGGAGTCACTGTGAAACCATTGAACAAATGGGCAGGCATGAATTTCCATCCATGTCTAAAGGGAACAGACCGAATTTAGGGCAAAAAAATGAAATCTCTGATTTGAGGATCAGGAATTCAAGCCATGGTTTAATGCTCACTAGTCATGGCTTGTTTCCTGGGTGTTTGCTTGACACTGTCTTAAGAAATAAGGTGGGTATCCAGGATTGGTGGCTCACACCTGTCACACTAATACCCAGGATGTTGAGGCAGGAGGATCAGATAGTGTAGGTCCTTCATGGCTGTATGAATCTGAGGCCAGCTTGTGCTATACAAGACCCCATCTCAAATACCAGGTCAACAGGAGTGGGTTAGGTATCTATGCAGAGATCTTACGAGAATTTTTCCACAAAATGACCTGTAGGCACACAAGTTACATCCAGCCTTCCAACACTCTAACACTGAGGCAATTACAAAGTTCATTCTGGAGAACCTCACTGCTGAATTACAAAACAAACAAAAAGTAATCACTCACACACACACACACACACACACACACACACACCTCATGATGTTCTAAGCAAGTTCATGATTTTGTGTGAGGTTGCACTCATAGTTACTTTGGGTGTATGAAGCTTTCAGGCTCAGGATGAACACACCTGACAGTTGTTGAGGGAAGGAAGAAAGAAGGGCAAAAATGTACTGGGTTTGTAGAATGTCCTTCAAGGAAAGTTACCAAAGAGATCAGAGAAATTAATAATTTTATTATTGTAATTATTAGGAAGGGGGCTGGAGAGATCCCAGGAACGGGCTTGATTGATGACTCAGAGGTTAAGATAGAGCACTGCACTTGCAAAGGACCCAAGTTCAGTTTCCAGCACCCACACAACCACCAGGGGCAGCTCACAACCACCAATTACCCCCACCCTCTGCTCTAGGGTATATGGCTCTTCTGGCTTCCAAAGGAACTGAACTCACACGCGCATATTGTTGCCTCTTCAAATATACATACTTAAAATAAAAAACTCTAGGAAAGGAAAAACAACACATGCATTGAGTGATATTAACATTTGGCCTATTTACTTAAAATAGCTATGAAATTTCAGAGGTAACACAGTCATCCCTCTACTAACAAAGATGGCTCAAGAGCTGGTACTGGAAAACATTATGTTTCGGTCAGGGAGACCTATAAGATTTTACAGAGCGGCATCTACTGAGGGTCACTAAGACAGGGAACCACAACCTTGTGGGTTGGCCAAGCAGACCGACAAGATAATCTATCTTTGAGGTACGGGTGGGTTTTCAAAGAAACATGTCAGTTTCAGAATTTACTCATAATCCAAAGTGATATTTACTATGATCAAAAATAGTTGGCCATATTTGCATGAAGCCATCTGCTACGGAATATGGTCCGAAAGCAGATGAGCCAAGGACAGTGAGGCTCAAGGGTGGTAGGAAAGTGTGATGTCCTCTGTTCTTCGTGTGGAGTAAAATTAGACGCCTGTGATGTTTGTGAGTGATTGCAGTCGCCCAGAGTCTCTCCCCATGCCAAAGCTGAATGCTTTCATTCACAAAGGAAAAGAACACTAACCTGCCTAGGAGGCCCATGGTCTAAATTACTGTGGACATTTCAATGGTATTGCAATGAAAGGCAACAGAAACAGCTCCACAACTTAGGGAAAACGAGAGGAAAAGCAGCCCAGCAAAGCATGACTCCTCTGCTGGTCCCAGAAACACCGTGCTTCCTGTTCTTAGGCCAGGCTGATTCATTTGGTGCCAATTAAGTTTTACTAAGTGGACTCAATAAAACATCCCCAATAAAGCATGTTTATAACATGAGGGCTTCAGATGGGTCCTGGGTTGACTGGGAGACCCTCAACTGAACAGAATTAGACCTGGATGTCAAGAATCTTCACAAATAAACACACAACTAAGTTCATTTTCTAAAAAAGATATCTTCAAGCACTTGACTAAATTTCCTCTGTGTGCGTGACATATGTATGTGTTCCCATGTGTGTGCATGTGTACATGCTGATATGTCCATATGTGTATGTATGTGGGGGACAGAAGTTAATGTTGGATATCTTCCTCATCACTCTCCACCTTAATTTTAATTTTTCTCTCCCTCCTTCCCTCCCTCCCTCCTTCCCTCCCTTCCTCCCTCCCTTCCTCCCTCCCTCCCCTCAGGGTCTCTAAGTGAATCTGGAGCTCATTTGTTCAGCAAACTGGCTACAAAACAGCAAGCTCTAGGGATCCACCTGTCTCTGCCTGCCCTGCTCTGGGGTTACAGATGCAGGCCCCTGTGTCCAGCTGCTTACATAGGTGCTGGAGATCCTAACTCAGGTCGTCATGCATGAGCAGCAAGCACTTTACTGATCAAGATTCTCCCCAACCTTGAATAAATGAAGTCTATATAGAACCTGTCAGGATGAAAAAAAAAAAAATCTCCCCATGAAAAATAGGATGGGAAAAGTTGAGGCAAGACTCTGAATAAAGAAAATCATCTAAAAGATGACACGAGAGTGTGACCAGATATAGATAAGGCATGCCCTTCCTCCACATCCCTCCACCACATGAAGAAGCTTCCAAGACTCACTCTGATGAAAACAGTCATTCCAAGGTGATCTAAAATATGACTTCACTAGAGAACTCTCAAGGCTGTAATTCCTTTTTTGAGCTAGATCATTTTCTTAGTTCTTCTTTCTCTAAATCACTGGCTACCCTTCTGCTGCCTCCAAGGGCATCTCTGCAAATATGGAAAATAGAGTGGTCCAATTGAGCTTTTAGGCAGCAATTCCAGCTACGCATGCAGTTGGAATGGTGGAAAAACAGATAAACACCTTAACCCACAAAGGGAGGGTGGCTTAAGGTTGTTTTTCACCACAGGGATGGGCTAACTAGTTGATGAAATAATTAAATTATATGTAAACCAATTACCCTGTGGGGAGAAGAGGAAAACATTTTTTTTTTTCTCCCTGGAACCTCAGAGGATTTCGAGAACTGGAGGAAGGCCAGCACTGGTGATAACTCAAGTAATGAAACAAACTGCCTTCCACAGGGCAACATTTTCCTAAATAAAAGCACCGTGATGAGCATGCAGGGAAAATCGAGCATGCAGCTAACAACTCAACCTCCTGATATGCAACTGCATTTTCTATCTGATGTGTCCAATGTTACTTAATGAGCTTGGCCCACTAGTATCCCAACCTATCAATAAAGCTGACCCCAGCAGGAGCCCACTCCCTGATTCATAGGAATTGCCCTGATTCAAACTGTTTGGGAACAGCTACTCTTGGGCTGGCTCACAGAGTCTCTGGGCCCTACCATTGCCTCCAGATGCCTTTCATCATGGCTGCCTCAGCCACACTTCTCTAGCTGTGGCTCTTCATTGAATGCTTGCTCTCAGTGTTCTGGAACTACTCATCTCCCCTTACCTCTGCCAGATCTTATAGCATACAGCCTTCTCAGAATCAACAACTAACTCATCAAGGGCAGCCTATAGTCCACCACAATAAACAATTGGAGACTGATTTTCGACATGTTTCGGTGACTAAAATGCTTGCCGCACAAGGGTGAGGACCTGAGTTTGATCCCTAGCACTCATGCTAAGAAACCTGGTGTGACGGCATGTGCCTGTAATTTAAGTGCTGGGAAGACATAGGAGCTTACTGCCCAGACAGCCTAGCTCAGTGGTTCTCAATCTTCCTAATGCTGCAGCCTTTTGTTCCTCATGTTGTGGTGACCTCCAACCATAAAATTATTTCATTGCTACTTCATAACTGTAATTTTGCAACTGTTATGAATTGTAATGTAAATGTCTGATATGTGACCCCTGTTAAAAGGTTGTTTGACTCCCCCAAAGGAGTCATGACCCATAGGTTGAGAACCCCTGCTCTAGCTGAATCAGCAAACTCCAGGATCAGTGAGTGACAGTCTCAAAAAATAATGTGAGCTGACCTGAGCTAGTGAGAGATCACTGACTCAGGTCTGACAAATGAGAAACCTGCATAAGACCGAACTAGACTCCCTTAATATAGGTGACAATGGTGTGAGTGGGACAATTTATGAGGCCACTGGCAGTGGGTCCAAGATCTAACTCTAATGCATAAACTGACTTAGTGGAGCCAATTCTACATGGAGAGATACCTTGCCCAATCTAGACACAGGGGTGTGGAGCTGCCTTGGTCCTGCCTCAACGTGATGATGGCACACTTAGTAGACTTCCTAAGGGAGGCCTTACCCTCTCCGAGGAGCAGATGGGAGGTGGAGGGGGGAGAAGAGGGAAAGGGGAACTGGGACTGGAATGTAAAAAGTAAATAAATTAAAAAATAATGTGAAAGTGACACAGGAAAGCATCCAACGTAACACACAAAATGTGTGCATGCCTGCAAACAGGTGCAATTGAAAACCATCTGAATTCATGGTAACACACACCCAGCAATCGACAGGCAGCAGCACTAGTCAAATCTTGTTCAGTTTGAAGGCAAAACTCTTTAGGCACAAACTAACCTTTTAGCCAGTGCCACAGGCTGCAGAATGAAGAGGCAGCAGATCGAGACAGGGAAGACCTGCTGGGCTAGAACTTCGAACAATAATGGATATTCAGTGGAGAGGGCTCTATACATCACTTTTTCTTGAGAGATGAGACATAAAATAAAACAATTTTGAC